CTCTAGGATTTTGATGGATTCTTGTCTCACATTTAGATCTTTCATCCATTTTGAGTTTATCTTTGTGTATGGTGTTAAGAGAATGGTCTAGTTTCATTCTTCTGCATGTGGCTGTTCAATTTTCCCAGCACCATTTTGAAGAGACTGTCTTTTTTCCAGTGGATAGTCTTTCCTGCTTTGTTGAATATTAGTTGACCATAGAGTTGAGGGGCCATTTCTGGGTTTTCTATTCTGTTCCATTGATCTATGTGTCTCTTTTTGTGCTAGTACCACACTGTCTTGATAATCACAGCTTTGTAGTACAACCTGAAATCTGGCATTGTGATGCCCCCAGCTCTGGTTTTCTTTTTTAATATTCCCCTGGCTATTCGGGGTCTTTTCTGATTCCATACAAATCTTAAGATTATTTGTTCCAACTCTCTGAAGAAAGTCCATGGTATTTTGATAGGAATTGCATTAAATGTGTAAATTGCCCTGGGTAGCATTGACATTTTCACAATATTAATTCTTCCAGTCCATGAGCATGGAATATTTTCCCATCTCTTTGTGTCTTCCTCAATTTCTTTCAGAAGTGTTCTGTAATTTTTAGGGTATAGATCCTTGACCTCTTTGGTTAGGTTTATTCCTAGGTATTTATGGTTTTGGGTGGAATTGTAAATGGGATTGACTCCTTAATTTCTCTTTCTTCAGTTTCATTGCTAGTGTATAGAAATGCCACTGATTTCTGGGCATTGATTTTGTATCCTGCCACACTGCCGAATTGCTGTATGACTTCTAGCAATCTTGGGGTGGAGTCTTGGTTTTTCTATGTACAGTATCATGTCATCTGCAAAGAGGGAGAGTTTGACTTTTTCTTTGCCAGTTTGAATGCCTTTTATTTCTTTTTTTTTAATTTTTTATTTATTTATGATAGTCACAGAGAGAGAGAGAGGCAGAGACACAGGCAGAGGGAGAAGCAGGCTCCATGCACCGGAAACCCGATGTGGGATTCGATCCCGGGTCTCCAGGATCGCGCCCTGGGCCAAAGGCAGGCGCCAAACCGCTGCGCCATCCAGGGATCCCCCTTTTATTTCTTTCTGTTGCCTGATTGCTGAGGCTAGGACTTTTAGTACTATGTTGAATAATAATGGTGAGAGTGGACATCCTTGTCATGTTCCTGATCTTAGGTGAAGGGCTCCCAGTGTTTCCCCATTGAGAATGATATTTGCTGTGGGCTTTTCGTAGATGGCTTTTAAGATGCTGAGGAATGTTCCCTCTATCCCTACACTCTGAAGAGTGGAAGGAGCCTCGGTGTCCATCAAAAGATGAATGGATACAGAAGATGTGGATATGTATACAATGGAATATTACTCAGCCATTAGAAATGACAAATACCCACCATTTGCTTCAACATGGATAGAACTGGGGGATATTATGCTGAGTGAAATAAGTCAATTGGAGAAAGACAAACATTATTTGGTCTCATTCATTTGGGGAATATAAAAAATAGTGAAAGAGAATAAAGGGAAAGGAGAGAAAATTAGTGAAAATATCTGTGAGGATGACAGAACATGAGAGACTCCTAACTCTGGGAAACTAACAAAGGATAGTGGAAAGGGAGGTGGGCGGGGGTTTGGGGTGACTGGGTGATGGGCACTGAGGGGGGGGCACTTGACAGGATGAGCACTGGATGATATGCTATATATTGGCAAATTGAACTCCAATAAAAAAATAATAAATAAATATAAATAAATAAATAAATAAATAAATAAATAAAATTAGAACTCCCCCCAAAAAAAGAATCTGATGAGACTGTTGACCCCTCCACTTCATATTTTAGCCATTTGTGAAACAATGTAATTATCTCCAGAAGATGCATTAAATTAAATACAAAGATAGATATACTAACAAAATAAATAAATATTTTTTTAAAAAACGCAGGCAACAAAAGTAAAATAGGTTAATTGAAATGCATCAAAATTAAAAGCTTGAAAGACATGCATGAAGGACACTATTAACAGAGTGAAAAGACAACCCATAGAATGGAGAGAATATTTGCAAATCATGTACTGATAAAAGGTTAAAATCCAGACTACATATAAAGAACTGCAGGACCCCTGGATGGTGCAGTTGGTATAGTTTCCCACTGTTGGTGTTTTTGGTTCAGGTCTGAGCTCAGAGTCGTGAGATCAAGCCCCGTTGAGTGCAGAGTCCTCATGAGTTTCTGTCTCCCTCTCTTTCTGCCTCTCTCCCCCCAACCCTGCTAAAGCACATAAAAAGATGCTGAATATCACTAATTATTTAGAAAATGCAAATAAAAATCACAATGGAATACTACTTTACATACATTACAATGACTATGATGAAAAAAACCAGAAATAACAAGTGTTGGTGAGAATGTTGAGAAATTAGAACCCTTGAACATTGTTGGTAGGAATGTAAGATGGTACACAGTATGGAGTCTCCTCAAAAAGATTAAAAATAGAATTACCATATGACCCAGCAATCCCATTTCAGAGCATATATATGAAAGAATTGAAAATAGGGATACAAACAGATATTTGTAACCCCGTGTTCATGGTAGCATTATTCACAATAGCCAGGAGGTGGAAGTAACTCAAGTGCCTGTTGATGGATGTTTTGGTAAACAAAATGTGGTATAACCATACAATAGATTATTATTCAGTCTTTAAGAGAAACTCTTGTTATATGCTACAACATGGATGAACCTTGAAGACATTATGCTAAGTGAAATAAGCCAGTTACAAAAGGAAAAATAACTGTATGATTCTACTTATATGAGGTACCTAGAGCAGTGAGATTCATAGAACAGAAAATAGAATAGTGGTTGTCAAAGATAGGAGGAAAGGGACTTCATGTTTAAGGGGTACAAAGTTTCAGTTTCAGAAGATGAAAAAGTTCTAGAGGTGGACTTGGTGATAGTTGCACAACAATTTACATATACTTAATGCCACTAAACTTTACATTTTAAAATGGTTAAAAATGGTAGATTTTATGTTACATATATTTTATCACAATTAAAACAAAAGGCTTGTAGTAGACACTATAGGTTATCTAGCCAAAATGTATGGTCTCCCTTTATCCTTACTGGCTGAGACCCTTTTTCGTTTAGGTATGTAGACCTTACCCTTGTGACTTAGGATGGGGACCCTATTCAAGTCCCAGGATAAATTCTGATTGACTTCAACGAATCAGGGTTGTTTTCATTACACTTCTGGTGGGTTTATTTGTTTGTGTTGTTGTTTTGTTTTTAGCTAGATGTACAAAAATATGTATTAAAATGTTGTTTATAAAAGCAAAGAATTGGGAAACAAAAACTCTGTCCATCAGTAAGAGGAGACTGGTTTCAGAAATCTTGGCTCAGATCCGAGACTACTTTGTAAAAAAAACAAAAAACAAAACACTGTAAGACAAGTGTATCTCCATATATCTTAATATGAAAAGATGATCATATTGTTGAATTTTCTTAGATGCTCCAAAACAGCAATATATAGTACTAAGGAGTAAAAGTAAGGAGAGAAAGACAAGGGTGGGGGGAGAAAGACTGAGGAAAAGAAGGAGAGACTGGTGGTTTTAGTAAGGCAAAATATTTTTTTAAGGGTAGGTACTTTTGGTCAGTGAGATGGGAAAGGAGGTGAGCCAGGAGATTTCTGGGAAAGGTTTTCTTGCTCTTACAGAGCATATGCCAGAAGATACTGTCCCATTTTCTTCTAATGAATATTGTCCTTGAATGTTGCACCTGAAACTATGCAGCCACCTTACATGCATAAGGAAAACCAGTCTTACAATGAAGTAGCTGCTGAGTACAGTAGAATGGAGAAATGGAAGGAACCTTAGGCCTCAGGATAACATCCTCAAGCGGCTGATTTCACTGGGCATGTAGCCTTTCCCTCTGGACTTTTTAAATGTGAGATAATTTATTTACTTACTTGTTTAAGCCAGTTTGTTGGGATTCTGTTAACTTTCATTCAGAAATATCCTGGCTGGTATGAGGCATTTCAGAAACATAAACTGTTACCAGAGAATTAGCTTTTCCAGTGTGTGCAAGTTATTTTAAACTTGAGTCAGGCTTAGGTTAGATGTCACAAGTGGTATCATCTTCCCTTTTACTAATGATTTACTGGGTGCTTTTACTTTTGATGGTATCATGTTCTAGAACTGTACAGTATGCAGTACAAGCAACTGGAAATGAATGCAAAGTGTTATATGGTACTTTTATTTTTGGTATTTTCTATTTTCCTTATATTTGTGCATTTTTCAGAATTCTAAGAATTTTCATAAAAAACACTTTACATTTTAACTAAATCTTTTAATTAGATACATCTATTTGAAGAGAATTTTGGAAGATTTGATCTATTAGATGGTTTTGTTTGCAAGTAACCAAAAAAAAAAAAAGACAAATTTAAACTGGCTCTACGTTAAAAGGAATTTATTGGTTTATATAACTAAAAAGTTAAAGGTTTGTTGCATTTTAAGTAAAGCTTGATCCAGCAGCTTAACTATAACACTAAGGACTCCGTTTCTGTCTGCCTTTTTTATTCTTTTCATAATTCCAGCTTAATTATGGTGTTTCCATGGTGTTAACCATGGTCACCAACAGTTTTGGGCTCTGTGCTTTCTTCATTTGTATCTAGCAAGAGGAATTTTCCTGATTTTTCATTCTCCAACTTTGGAAACAAAGTCATAGGTTTCATTCTGAATAGATCAATTTAGGTCACAAAACTCCCCCAAGCCAATCATTACGGTCAAGAGGATGGAAATATGCCTATTGGTTTAAACTACAGATGATTACCCTTGGAGTTGGGGTCGAGGTCAATCCCTTTCAGGTTACATGCTGATGTACGTGGAGGAAAGGTGGAGTCAGTGCAGTCTATGAAGTCCTTTATACAGAGGATAAAAAGGGAGGTATGCCATCTCCTCTGCCTAATATCATTAGATATTATTTCTGTGTTTGTATTTCAATGTTATGTTGTTTTCCTTTTCTCTTTTTGTCTCATTAGCAAATTGTTTGCAACAGAAAACTACTTGGCAGCTATTAATGCATACAACTTAGCCATAAGACTAAATAACAAGATTCCACTGTTATATTTGAATCGGGCTGCTTGCCACCTAAAACTAAAAAACTTACACAAGGCCATTGAAGATTCTTCTAAGGTATAGATATATATTTATTTATATATCGTGCTTTAAAATTGTTACTCTCTTATTTATTGGTTTAAATGATGCCCTTAATCTTTTTTCTTTTAAATTTATGTAATTGAATAAATTTATGTAATTGTTAGTTATGTGTTTTTCTTTTGTTTTTTGTATTTTTTGTTTTGTTTTTAACTGGAAGAAAGATTTTTTTTTGAATAGGCAAGGAGCTGGTGTTTTTTTGTTTTTTGTTTTTTGGTGTTTTGATTTTTTTTGAGACTTCAAGGTACTATATTGCCTCGGTGTATCAGGTGAAGTTCACAAGGAAATTAGTAAATGCTTGTCAGTTTGTGCTTACCCTTTATTTTATTTTTTAAATTTTATTTATTTATGATAGGCACACAGTGAGAGAGAGAGAGAGAGAGGCAGAGACACAGGCAGAGGGAAAAGCAGGCTCCATGCACCGGGAGCCTGACATGGGACTCGATCCCAGGTCTCCAGGATCGTGCCCTGGGCCAAAGGCAGGCGCCAAACCGCTGCGCCACCCAGGGATCCCTACCCTTTATTTTAGTAAAGCTTTGCAGACTTAATGCAAGGTTGAAGAAGGAAAACTTGGTGTTTTCATGCTATCACTACCACCTACACAATAGAAGAATAGCTCTATAATAATTTCCCAATGTTCAGAATAACCTGTTATATCCTAATTTCATTATTAATATCATGTCATTATCTTAAACATCTAGTTTTTTTCTTTTTTTTTTCCCATGTCAGAGTAACCTGTTTTAAGGGAAAATCACGTGCCAAATCTCTTATGTGGCTCCTTGAGTTTGAAAATATGAAGGATATAACCACATCCTCATACTTTGATCTCATTAAGCTATTGAAAGATCTGACAATATTTTTATGATCCAGTTTTCCCTTTACTATCACAATTTTGTGCACAAATATTTATCGAATAAATGAATAAACTGGATCACCCAATTTGAATATAAAGACCTCCAATATTATTTAATCATTTCTGTTAATAAAGGTAAAGCTGTAGAGGTTTCACAGTTAAACCAAATCATCACTTTGGGAGAAAGGGTATGAATATTGTATCAGAACAACTGAGGAATTCTTTAAATCGTTCAACATAAATAGAAGTATTTGATAAATTTCTGTGCTAGTTTCAAACTTTCAGTGGGTGAGGCTAGAGGCTTGTTTTAAAGTTAAGATTTTATCTTGTTTTTGCTCAAGTTTGAATTAGTAAATTGTCTTTATTTTATTTTGTAAGGCACTAGAATTATTGACACCACCTGTTCCAGACAATGCTAATGGAAGAATGAAGGCATATATACGACGTGGGACAGCATTCTGTCAACTCGAATTGTACATAGAAGGTAAGAAATTGATAGAAATGTTTTTAGTTCCAATTTATATTCCAAAAAGAAGTATTATTGGGATTATTTAAGATAATAACTTTTTAGAACTCTACTGTTTTATATTTTTAGCACTTAATATATTCTTTGCAATTTATCTGACAAAATTAAAAATGATTTTGAAGTATTTAAAAAATTATTGTTGTAGAAGGGAGTTAAAACAAGATGTGAACAAGTTTAGATTTAGGAAAATGCTGTAGTATCCAGACAACTTTTCTATGGAAAGATGTGTGATAAAGGTTATAAATGAGTCACTTAGGAGATGGTAGAAATTTAAAATGAACTGCTTTAGTCATATAGACAGACATACATATGAGCTCAGAAACAACTGATCTACCACATTGTATGATAATTTGCTTATATTTGTGAGACTGTACCAAGTTTGGTTTCAGCCTCATTGCTTATAGAAGCCATTTATTTTTTTTATTGTTTTTCATTTTTAATGTATTTAGGGACCATTTTCAGTTATTCATGTTGCTCCAAAGGCAAAATTTTGTGGTAGTCAGCATTTTATCTTTAATGTTCTTCCCATTCCTCCTTACCCAGAGGGCCAGTCAACTTTCTTTTATTCAAGGCCTAAAGGCATACTCCTTTATGATACCTTTTCAAGGAATGGTCTAGTCTATAAGGTTTTATTATTTCTGACCTTTTTAAAAAGATTTTATTTATTTACTTACCCATTCATTCATTCATTCATTCATGAAAGACAAAGAGAGAGAGGCAGAGACAGGCAGAGAGAGAAGCAGGCTCCATGCAGGGAGCCCAGTGTGGGACTCAATCCCGATCCCGGGACTCTGGAATCACCCCCTGAGCCAAAGGCAGACACTCAACCGCTGAGGCACCCAGGGTCCCTCTGACTTTGTTTTTAAACTTGTTTCTTTTTTTCTTTTAATTTTTTAAAAGATTTTATTTATTTATTTATTAGGGGGGGCGGGGAGGCTCCATGCAGGAAGCCTGACATGGGATTTGATCCCAGGTCTCCAGGATCACGCCTGGGCTGAAGGCAGCACTAAACCGCTAAGCCACCGGGGCTGCCCTTAAACTTGTTTCTGACATTTTTAGGAGGTTTTTCTAACCAAAGTATCCAAATTAGATTTATGTTCCCATCCATTTTTTTTAAGTTTCTTATCCAGTTTCATGAAGTTAAAAATTATCAAGACAGGAATAAAACATTTTAAAGCATTCTTTAGAAATTATAGCATCATAGACTTTTTGAGCTAAAAGTACTCTTCATTTTAAAGATGAGAAAATGGAGGCTTGGAGAAGTTAAGTGATTTTCTTCAAGTGTTTTGGCAAATCAGTAGCACTTGGTACTCAAGTTTCCTTATTCTCAAAGAAATTTTCTCACTCCTTATCTTGGTAAAGCTTTAGACTCATTTATGTGTATTTAACAAATAGTCCACAATGCTTTCCTTTTAAACCAATTTTTCTCAAAGGAATTCTGCAGATGTATCTATAAAAAAATCACAAACTGTAGTCTATGAATTATATAAAGTATGGATTGAGTCTACCAAAATGATTTTTTTAAGTCTGGAATTTCCAAATAAGATGCCATTTATTACTTTTTCAATGAGGTAATAAAAATGTCCCTGATATATGTGAGTTTTATTGAGTCTGTTTATGCTTTCATGAGTTTATACTCGGTTTATTTGTACTTGAATTTAAAATAAATGCTTTTGGGGGATTCCTGGGTGGCGCAGCGGTTCAGCGCCTGCCTTTGGCCCAGGGCGCGATCCTGGAGACCCGGGATCGAATCCCACGTCGGGCTCCCGGTGCATGGAGCCTGCTTCTCCCTCTGCCTGTGTCTCTGCCTCTCTCTCTCTCTCTCTCTCTCTCTCTGTAACTATCATAAATAAATAAAAAAAACATAATTATTAAAAAAAATAAATAAATAAAATAAATGCTTTTGGGATGCTTTGAGGGCTCAGTCCAAAGAGTGTGCAACTCATGATCTTGGGATCATGAATTTGAGCCCCACATTGGGTGTAGAGATTACTTAAATACATTTAAAAATATTTTTAAAAAACCCCAGAATTGGGATGCCTGGGGGCTCAGTAGTTGATCATCTGCCTTCAGCCTAGAGTGTGATCCTGGAGTCCCACGATTGAGTCCCACATCAGGCTCCCTGCATGGAGCCTGCTTCTCCCTCTGCCTGTGTCTCTGCCCCTCTCTCTCTCTGTCTCTCATGAAAAAATAAATAAAATCTTAAAAAAAAAAAAAAAAAACAGAATTGCTTCTTACTAAATCCTGAGTGTAATGAGTGTAAGTATTCCTGAAATCACTGAAAAATTTATGCAATCTTTTGGAAATACTACATAGAGACACATATCGAAAATGAGAATCTGATTTAAAACTTGATACTTGTCCTGAACCATGTTCTTAGTGGTTATTTTTATTAAAAAATATCCTCCATATAACACAAGTATTTATAAGATATTAATTTTATCGACCATCATTACTATTTAAATATAGGCCTACAGGATTATGAAGCTGCCCTTAAGATTGATCCATCCAACAAAATTGTACAAAATGATGCTGAGAAGATTCGGAAAATAATTCAAGGAACAGAAGTAAAATCTTAATGACTGCTGAAGCAACTAGGTACTGTACTAGATACTAAGTTTTTCAAAAATAACTGGAGGCATTAGAAATCTTTGTAAATATTATGGCTGATTGTACAGAATCACTTTCTTTTTCATTCTCTAGTTCTGTAGAGGACAAAATATTATAAATCTACAAAAAAATTAAATATTTGATTTGAATCGTTTCTGTATAAGTAAATCAAATTAAGAATGATTTAATTCTTTGTTCTTCAATACATAGATTAATTACATACACATTTTGTTGTTGTTACTGAATTCAGCTTGCCCTTATAACTAACAAAATATTTCTTGATGTGACAAGTATGGGGACATTACTGATTCATTTTTGACAAGGTAAAATTTGAAAATGAAGGACCAGGTTTATAATTTTTTAAATTAAATAACTACTTAATTGAATGGTTTACCTTAGTATAATCAGTACTTATGTTCACTTAGAATTCCATGCACAAAACCTTTATTTCTCCATCTTCTGTTGTGGGAGGGTAGACCAGTTCCATCTAACACAACTCTTTAGGAAACCTTATTTTTTATTTTAACTATATGTGGTGTTCCCCAAAACATTGATCATATTTCATACTATCTGGTGAAGGTAAGTTTTCTAATGAGATGTTTTCTAGTACCTTCAAGTACAACAGGAAAAAGAAAAAGACAACAAAGGGTGAAATTAGCACAGAATATTATGATACTGGAATTGGATCGTACCACTGTGATTATGCAAACATTAAGCAAAAATAGTACAGCTTCCCTTTCGTATATAGCAGTTATCAAAATTGTATTTAGAGGATTTTTAGAAAAACAAGACAACTTTTAGGAATAAGTTTTTATAATATTTGGTCATCTGATGTTATTCAAATGGACCATAAAACAGCTTCATTCTTCCTTTTTTTTTTCCCAACACAATACTTTTTTTTTTTTTTATGATAGTCACAGAGAGAGAGAGAGAGAGAGAGAGAGAGAGGCAGAGACCTGTGTCACAGGTCACAGTCACAGAGGGAGAAGCAGGCTCTATGCACCGGGAGCCCGACGTGGGATTCGATCCCGGGTCTCCAGGATCGCGCCCTGGGCCAAAGGCAGGCGCCAAACCGCTGCTCCACCCAGGGATCCCCACAATACTTTTTTGAATATGTTTGGGTATCCTAGTTCAGCAATCTTGAGAGTTTTACTTTTATAAAGCAACTTTAGACAACTTACATAGCAGCCTTTTCCAGTTAATAGAACTTCTAATAAGGCAGGATTGCTTTCTCTTATAATCAACATTGGTTTGTTTGTTTTTATTTTTAAAAATAAACGTTACCAAAGTAAAGATGGGTCTCCATGTGTGTCAAATACCAGTTTGATATTCAAAATGTTAACCAACCTAGTGCTTCTTCAGGCTCTTCTGATTACCATCCTCCACCCACCTCCCCCTCCCCCCACCAAAAGACTGGGCCCAATAGCTGTCTTAGGGGCAAAGATCTATCCTTGGAGGAATAGAAGGGCTAATCTTAACTAATTATTAACATTTTTGATCCTATTCTCTAAATAAAACCTTGGACTTTATTTATCGCAATAGATGAGTTTGTATTCACAAAATACTTGACCTCTTTTAAGCAATCTCCTTTAGTCTGCAAGGGACTTTTGTCTTAGATTGAGGTAGTGACAGAGTCAAAATATTGATTCAACACTCCCCATCTCCTTTAGTGCCAATTATTATTAAGGCCTATGAATAAAAGATAAGTAAAAATTCTTATGGTAGTCCTTTAGTATTTTTCATAATGTCAATCATTTGATTGAAATTAATTTTAAGATACCAAGTGGATATTAAGCTAAATGTAGCTGTTACAGAAATTTAAACTAAAGGGATCTTTAACTGACTAAAGGGATCTTTAATCCCCTACTACTATGTGATTACCATACATAAATACACAGTATATCTGTTTATTAAAGATAAAATTTTGACAAATTTGGCTATGAATAAATATCAAAACTGTATCAAAATACTTATTACAAAGGAAAGATCATGACTAGCCCATTTTTGCAGTGGATGCTATACAGGAATAGGAAATTATTATTGTTAGACTTAATTTTAAAAAATAATATTTTCTAATGTATCACTTTTCCTTTGACTGATAGTCACTTGAGAGTCAGCTAGGGTAGATGGGTAACCAGTTTCATGAAACTTGTCTTTGTCTCATTAAAGTACTTAACCATTTTATGAGGAACACTCATTTTTTCCTTCCCAGAAAGAGGTTTGTGAATTACATCAACCAAAAATGGTTTTTCCCAAACCAGGTTTGGCGTAATTTTTCTTTTATACATTTTAGCTCTTTACTGACAGAAATAATAATATCAGTCCTAATAAATAAATGTTGTCAAATAGCTAAATGGAAAGTAAACACATACGTTTATAAAAACATATCCTGTCCTGGTTTCCTAGAGTCAGGGAAGACAGGAGCTGGACAGTAGTTACAGCAGTAAAAACAGATTCCACTTGGGAACTACTGCCTACTACAGTATAGGATAGGAGACTCTAGTATAGAATTGGGGTCAGTTCCATGGACAATGGACAAGTAATGATTGATAGCTAAGGAGCAAGTTGGGGGTGGAGGTTGGGGTTGTAAGTGGATGGAAAATTACTAAGAGGAAACATCAGTGGTAGGGAGATTCTGGTTAAACTGACCTAACTGGATTCTTGCTGAAGGCAGGCCAGGATGACTGAGTATCATCTGGGGGATTGGTGGGGGATGAAGAATTTGGTCAGGTATTGAAAGTGATAGGGATCCTTGGGTGGCTCAATGGTTTAGCGCCTGCCTTCAGCCCAGGACATGATCCTGGAGTCCTGGGATTGAGTCCCACATTGGGCTCCCTGATGGAGTCTGCTTCTCCCTCTGCCTGTGTCTCTGCCTCTCTGTCTCTCTCTGTCTCTGTGTCTCTCATGAATAAATAAATAAATAATCTTAAAAAGAGAAAGTGATAAAAATTGATGGTGGGGATTCTGGCTAAACCAATTTAGCAATATTCTTGCTAACAACTGAGCTCCTAAGGGCAAGCCCCAAGGACAAGGCCCAGTTGAAAAAGTGGCTCAGAAGAACCTGTTTAGAGTTCGGTGAAGGAGAACTGGTCACTAGCAAGCCAAGTACTTTCCAGTGAGCCTCATCCATGTGGCAAATAGAGGCAAAAGGTTTTTTTTTTTAAGATTTTATTTTTTTGAGAGCGCGAGAATAAGTGAGTGAGTGGGGGGGAGGAGCAGAGGGAAAGGCACAAGCAGACTCTGTGCTGAGTGTGGAACCTGACTCAGGGCTCTATCTCACGACCTTGAGATCATGACCTGAGCCAAAACCAAGAGTTGGATGCATAACGACTGAGCCACCCAGGCACCTCATGGGCAAAGGATTTTTGTACATAGGATCTGGGAAAAAGATTCATAGGTGATCTCCCAAAAAGACTGACAACAGGGGTGTATTTCATTATCTTATTGAACTGATCTAGCTCAATCTCATTCTCAAAGACCTATCAAGAGCTGACCCATCTCTGAATATCAGATTCACATTAACAAAGCTCAGGAGACTGAACAAAACAGATTGCCTACTTATTGATTCATAAGTAGAAACTGAGTGAGCATATCCATGGGGATGATAGGCTTCACAGGTGAATTCTACCAAACATTTAAAGAAGAGTTAATACTATTCTTCTCAAATTATTTCAAAAAAAAAAAAAACAAAAATAGGAAGGAAAGCTTCCAAATTCATTCTATGAGGCCAGCATTACCTTGATACCAAAACCAGATAAAGTCACTCCAAAGAGAGAGAGAGAGATATGTCTGATGAGCAGAGGTGCAAAACTCCTCAACAAAATCTTAGCAGACCAAATCCAACAATACATTTTAAAAAATTATTCAAGTGGGATTTATTCCTGGAATGTAAAAGTGGCTCAATATTCACAAATTAATGAAGATGATACATCACATCAGTATGAGAAAGGATAAAAATAATGTGATCATTTCAATAGATGCAGAAAAAATATTTGACAATGTACAACATCCACTTATGATAAAAACCGTCAACAAAGTAGGTTTAGAGAGAAGAGACATCAATATAATAAAGGCCATCTATGAAAAACTCAGAGCTCCATCATCAATGAGGAAAAACTGAGAGCTTTTCCCCAAAGGCCAGGAACAAGACAGTATGTCCACTCACCATTTTCATTCAACATAGTACTGGATGTTTTAGCCACAGCAATTAAATAAGAAAAAGGAAAAAAATGCATCCAAATCGATAAAGAAAATGTAAAACTTTCACTATATGCACATGATATGATAGTATATATAGAAAATCCTAAGGACCCCACCAAAAAAAACTAGAACTGATAAATGAATCAGGAAAGTCGCAGTATACAAAACCAGTGTACAGAAATCTGTTGCATTTCTATACACTAATAATGAAGTAGCAGAAAGAGAAATTAAGAAAACCATCCTATGTACAATTGCTCCAAAAATAATAAAATATCTAGGAATAAACCTAACCAAAGAAAGGAAAGACCTGTACTCTGAAAACTATAAAACACTGATGAAAGAAATTGAAGATAATACACACAAATGATATCCATGCTCATGGATTTGAAGAAAAAATATTGTTAAAATATCCATACTGCCCAAAACAATCTACAGATTTAATGCAATTCATATAAAAATACCAATGGCATTTTTCACAGAACTAGAACAAATAATCCTAAAATTTATATGGAACCAAAAAACCCCCAAATAGAGGAATGTTGAAAAAGAACAAAGAACAAAACTGGAGGTACCATAATCCCAGATTTCAAGATACTACAAAGCTGTAGTAATCAACACTGTATGGTAATGGCACCAAAATAGACACATAGATCAATGAAACAGAATAGAGAGCTAGAAATAAATCCACCAAACCCATGATTATGTGGTCAGTTAACCTATGATGAAGGAGACAAGAATATGCAGGTAGAAAAGAAAGTGTGTTTCATGTAGAAGAATGAAATTGGGCC